GATAAGTCCTAAGTAAACACTAGCGTTGTAATCCACCCCCACCAAGACCTTGATGAGGTGATAGAGAGAGAGATAAGCATGATAGGGGGAAAGCATGGATGGGGAAAGGAAGGGAGTAGGGAGAAAGAGACACATGCAGGGGTTCGCTGCCAGAGTTAAAATTGTTGTTATATCGCCAATTATGGGTCATTTTGCTTAGTTTGAACTTTCATTTTGGTCTTCATCTAACTTATTAGTGATTTTTTGACATGAAAATATCTTAAAACAAGTACTTATTTCCTACTTCTCATTTCCTTTCAGGCAGAGCCCCAGTAAGAGTTTGTTTACACTAGTATTACGTAAGATGATGAAGAGTCCAGCTGCAATCCAATATCATAATCTCTCACGCAGAGCCTCAAGGCTCTGTCCAAGTTTTTAACGAGAGAAACGAAATTGGGGTAGTCCAACCCCACCAGATTCCCATTGGTGCATGCCTGTGTAATAGTAGTAGCTCTCTCAAAGTTTTAACGAGAGAAACGAAATTGGGGTAGTCCAACCCCACCAGATTCCCATTGACTGCTGTGCTATATTGGTGGGGTATAGTTTTAACGAGAGCTTTTCGTAATGAGGAGGGGTTTTCCCCTCAACCACGCCCCTTTTGAGTAAAAAAATTGGGGGAAAATTGGGATAAAAAAACCCAGCTCTCTTCAAGTATAAGGATTTAGTGGATATTTGAGTTTGTCTCTTATCTGTTACTGTCAACTTGTTAATACAGTAGTCAGGCATCTTCTAGACAACTTTTGTGGATGATGATGGTGGATCTTGCTAAACTTTGTAGCTAAAATATTGTGAAGCATATCGCCAGTTTATTTCTACAAAGTCTGACTTACATGTAAGCAGTGTCTGTAAAACCTGCTGTAAACCTTTGAGTGAATAGAAACTACCTCATTCATGCTACAGTGTTAAGGACTTAATCCTGGGAAATGGCAAGGGGAAGGATAAGCCCTAGCTGGCCCTTCTAATTTACACTGCCCTCCTATATTGACCCTGCTACACTGTGAATGTAGCTACACCACAGGCAATGCTAGTGTGACTACAACATCAAATCTTCGACACACGGAATAACTCTTCTGCAACTTTCCAAACTATTCTTATGACCTGTGGAGATGTTGATCCCAACCCGGGACCTTCCCTTGTCCAGCAGGAGAGTGGGTATGATGTGATGCAGGTACATAGGAAGATATATGATACCAACACCCTTCACGCACATAATCCCATCTCTGGTAATCAAAACCTTCCAAGACTTGACAAGGACGTCTGGAACACCATTCATGACTTGGAAATATCAAAGAAACAGAAAACACACAGGGGAAGAAAGCAAAGGAAGACCTATACAGCATCCTAGCTGTCATCACCACAAATAGGACAAAGCAGCAACAGCTTAACAATACCCGAATTAGAGAGATTGATAAATCAGTGCTCATGCATGCAGGGATACATGTCGACCCACCACCAGGTCGTGTCTACCAGCTGTGCACATGATGCTCTTTAATGCCCGCTCTTTAGCCAACAAGTTTGGTGAGTTTGAAGCCACTCTTTGTTCAATGCAAAATGTTCCCCACCTCATTGCTGTCACAGAAACATGGTTTTCCCAGGACAACCCGGCTTCTGCATACCGGTATCAACTTCAGTTTCATCATTTAAACAGTTTCACAAAGATCGTAACGAACGAATAGGTGGTGGAGTTCTTCTCTATGTGGACAAGAATATAAACTGTTATGAAATCTTCAAAGAACATGTACCTGAACATCTGGAGGTCTTGTGGGTTCGTCTACGATCATCTACTACTATCCGCCTATCAAGAGATATATGTATGTGTACTCTACTCCCCACCTCGGTCTCCACATGAAGACCAACTGAGTGATCACATCATAATGATGGTTGATAGCTATAGGCTCGAACCCTGTCGGAGAATGCATCTTTCATAATCCTTGGTGATTTCAATGACCTTCTTACAGATCATTTGGAACAGCACACCCTCTTGTCCCAGGTAGTAAAAGAACCTACCAGGCCGGGTACATCCATCCTGGACAAATTATTGACAGATTTCAGTGATTGTTATGAAGAGCCTGTCATTTCAGCACCCATTGCTTCAAGTGACCACTCTGTTATTACTTAACTTTCCTCTGCTCCTCATTCCACCACGTAACACTACAAAAATATCCTTCCGACCATTTCGTGATTCTTCCATTCGCGCCTTTGGTCGATGGATCACGCAGATGGACTGGTCAGAATATAAGGAATCCACTGATGGAAACAAAATGACGGCAAATCTTCACCAACTTCTAGACACAAAATATCGGCAATACTTTGATCTTATCACAGTCAAACGACGTCCCAACGATAAACTATAAAATAAGATCAGTCCATGCACTGATGGAAACAAAATGACGGCAAATCTTCACCAACTTCTAGACAAAAAATATCGGCAATACTTTGATCTTATCACAGTCAAACGACGTCCCAACGATAAACCATGGATGAATGATGCCATCCGTCGGGCCATTACTCAGCGCAATATCAGCTATACACGAGTTGATGACTCATTTCGTAGCGTAAGAAATAAGGTTCAAAGAGAAATCAGCTCTGCCAAGAAAAGTCTCTATAGCAGGAAAGTGGAACATCTGAAACACAGTGAACCTGGGAAATGGCACCAACAAATAAGATCGATTGATCGATCTGTATTGAAAACATATGTCAGAAAAAAATATTAATAAGTCAGAATGAATCAGGAGAACTTGGGTATTTGTTTCTAGTTCATCGTGACTGTGCCATGGACCAGTGATGGCCTGGTGGTAGAGTTGCTGCCCGGCAAGCAGTAGATGCAGGTTCGAGTCCCGCTGGTTCCAAGATTTTTTCAGACATGTTTTTCAATACAGATCGATCAATCGATCTTATTTATTGGGTGTAAGCCACACATATGTTTAAATAATTGTAATTTCTGTTATATTATTGCTATCAGATTTATCTATGTTACATTTGCCTTAATCAATGTAATACACAGGCAGGTATATCAATTATCAGCACAAAATAATTTATATGAATTACGGTTGACATTTTAAAAACATTTAATCTTACTTGAGGTCAGGCATATCATGAATACAAACTTGATCATTTGATTTCATGTATTTTTTCAAATGATTTTCTTTTTTCATATTTGTAAAAATTGTTGAGTTTCCCTAGTAGTTTTGTGTGTTGCGAAAATATATTTTTTCCCTATTTTTTTCCTATTTTTTCCCTATTTTCTGGAAATGCAGACTACTTTTTCCCTATTTCCTTCAAGAAAATAGGAAAAAATAGGGCTATTTTTTTCCTATTTTCAAGTACAAACTATTTTTTCCCTATTTTTTTCACCTATATTTTTTTTCAGACTATTTTTACCTATTTCCTATAAGAAAACAGGAAAAAAATAGTCCTATTTTTTCCTATTTTCAAGCACAAACTATTTTTTCCCCATTTTTTTCACCTTCAACTTTTGTGGACTATTTTATTCCAATTTTTTTTTAAGAAAATAGGAAAAAAATAGTTCTATTTTTTCCTATTTTCGAGTACCAAACTATTTTTTCCCTATTTTTTCACTTTCGTCTTTTTCAGACTATTTTTTTCCTATTTTCTCCAAAAAAATATGAAAAAAATAGGACTATTTTTTCCCTATTTTTTTATCTTAATCTTTTTCAGACTATTTTTTCCCTATTTTTTCACCCTAATCTTTTTCAGACTATTTTTTCACCTTTATCTTTTTCAGACTTCTTTTTACCTATTTGCGAGTACTATTTTCTTCCTATTTTTTGCACTTACATTTTTTATGACATGATACAAATTTGTAAACTATTTTTTGTCTATTTTCTATACTTGCATATTTTCATTGTTTATGACTGGCATCCTATTAAAAAAGCCCACTTCTCCTGCCATTATCTCTGTTGTTCATTTTGCGACTTATTGGTGGTTTTTATCTGTGGGGTCACATATTGAATAGTGAGCTCAAAGATAACCATAAATAAACAATGTGTAAAAAGAAAATGTACGAAATTTCAATTTTGTTCCTTTATTAATATTCTTGATTTTATTTACAAAACTATAGTAGTGACTAGTGCACTCAAAGATAACCATACACAGTGGCGGATCCAGGGGGGTAAAAAGGGGGCACGTGCCCCCCGGCCAAAAAAAAATATGTTAAAATCAGCCCTAAATTCGCCCAAAGTTTACTGAAAAACAGGGGCGTGCCCCCCCGGCCAATCTCTTTCCCACCGTGTGCCCCCCCGGCAAGAAATTCCTGGATCCGCCCCTGATACATAAACCATGTGTTAAAAGAAAATGTACACATAGAAATTTCAAAAAAAAATTCTCCTTTATTAAAAGAAAAAAAAGCATTCGATCGAGATATTCCCGTTCTATGTGTGAGTAAAGTTTCAACGTAGAGGACAGTACGCAAGTACGTAATTTGAAAATTACCCGTTATTTTTTTTCCCCACTGGCACTGCTGTGCGCATCGGACTTTTGCTGATTTTCGTTCATCAAACGTCTCCAAATCACACCAAAATGTCTTCCAGCAATTATTCTAGCGATGAAATTTCATCAAGAGATACTGACTCCTCATACTCCGATGCCTCCTTATCTCATTTTAGTGATTCTTCCCAAGAAAATGAGCCCGACAAATTTTCAAAATATTACTAGTCCCACTCGTAGAGAAACAAGTTTGTTGTCGAATGACGAACCATCGACGAGCGGAACTGGCCCCAGAAAACAGCTGAAAAGGTACGTTTATTTCTGAAACTTAATTATATTATGATATATATATTTTTATTGTGTCTGTTGTTGAATATAATGCTACTTCATAGACCTAGTAGGCTTATAGAATGTTATTTTACGTATCAATATTCCCATGTAGTGCTGAGAGCCTGAGTGAAGTGTAGTGAATCCCCAAGTTCTAGTGTCCGTTAGTGAATGAGTGAATGTAAACAAACGTGATTACAATAAATCCACGTAGAAATTTCAGACTTTTTACCATTACTACGTCTGTCAATTATATTGCCTTGCATGATATAATGTTTTGATGTGGTTTTAGGCTAAATTGTATCTCAAATTATTTTTCTAGGAATTGGAAAACACAACCTGCTAATGCACCACGCAAGAAGAAGAGCAAGTCTTCCAAGTCCGAGAGTGTGTCTGCGAGGTATGTCCTTACTAAGTAGAAATCTAAATCTATTGTTGATAATTTCTTTGGGTATATTTATTTCATGTTTGTTAGTTAAGATCTGACATCAAAATATTAGAGTAGTTTACCTCATCATTATGCTAGAACAATAATTTGCAGATGGCACAAGTTCTACCTAGATCTACATTATTTTTCTCTTTCCTTTTTATTTTTTTCTTCAAAAAATTGTTCCTTTACTATTTTCTTTTCTGTGATTTATGTTTTATTTTATGTATGTTCACCCGATATATCTAAGAATAAAATAACTCTAATTAATTGCCTACCTGAGTGGTTTACATTTCATGCACCTTGACAGCTCTTTGATGACTCCGTTGTTTCACCATCCGTTCGTCGTCAGCCTGGCATCTTTTTTGCTGTCATACTTTTGTACACACATGTTCTGTGCCTTTGAATTTTTCATTATGAAATACATAAATACTTCAGATGATGTTTGAAGGTTTGCATGGTGGTATGAATAATCACGGAAGAGGTTTACGGTACACCATGTGTAAAGTCCTCGAGGGACTGAGGAAAGTAGATAGAAAATAGAAGTGAGATGGAAGGCGAGAAAGTGGAGGTTGGAAGGAAGAGTATCTTTCGGAAGTGAGTTTAGTCCTGAAAAGGACTGTAAACCAGAAAGTTTGGGCAGGATGAGAGGTTTGAGTAGAGGACTGGATTGAGTTGGAGAGTTGAGTAGGCGAGTAGAATTGCAGAGCAGGAGCAGGAGAGTAGACTCGACGTTTCGGACAGGTTGACTGTCCGTCTTCAGGAGTGGACGGACAGTCAACCTGTCCGAAACGTGGAGTCTACTCTCCTGCTCCTGCTCTGCAATTCTACTCGCCTACTCAACTCTCCAACTCAATCCAGTCCTCTACTCAAACCTCTCATCCTGCCCAAACTTTCTGGTTTACAGTCCTTTTCAGGACTAAACTCACTTCCGAAAGATACTCTTCCTTCCAACCTCCACTTTCTCGTCTTCCATCTCACTTCTATTTTCTATCTACTTTCCTCAGTCCCTCGAGGACTTTACACATGGTGTACCGTAAACCTCTTCCGTGATTAACATAAATACTTGTACTAAGTATTAATTGCATGTTCATAAATGTACCAATGCATGATTATTCTAACCCCTAACTCACATTTCATTTATATCTTTACAGATCCATTGAAACTAATCAAGCTACAATGTACATGTAACGTACAACCACCATTTGATTAGATGCCTGTGAACACTGAACAGCAAGACCAACATCTGTATCCTTTACATTAGTATTTGTTTCCATTTTATTATGTAATTCTTATGTCTAATCATTGAGATTCATAGGCAAGTACAACATGTATGTGTACACAATGAGTGCCTGCATATTGTGAAGATAAAGTACCATAAGACCATTACTTATGATACATGGTGATGATGGTATACTTTGTAAAACTATTTGAAAATAGTAGCATGTAAGTCTGTCATTTTCTTGTTTATATATATCTCAATGACATGACATGTCATTGATTTTGTAGTAAGTGTTTCTAGATTATGAGGATTGTATTAAGATTTTGACAGTTCAATTGAGATTGAGAAAATTATGTAACATGTCAACTGTACTATAAAGCATGCATGCATTGTTGAAAAATCTGTTTTATGATTTATTTTATTTTGTTATCTTTGTAAATAACGAGAAAAAAATATTATTTGTCATGATTTTCTCGAGGTTTGAAAATGTTATTACATTATTAAGAGCACTTTGAAATATTAAATTGTAATAAAAGAGACAGAAAACAACACTCTCATGTCCAGAATACTGCTTTATTTGGTTACTAGTGAGGGAGAGAGCTTGTGATCGCCTGGCATATCCGCATCGGCTCAGTAATAGTCCTGAAACTCACCTGAATACTTTATTTGAACAAAAATAGAAAGCTACATTCTAGGTGGATGATATTTTTTTTAAGGCGGAGGCATATAGGAGACGCAGTCGCATTTGTCTTTTTTTTTTTTTAGAGTATAATCATAGCAAACCATGAACAACTCTATTACTACAACATGTACACTACAGTACTTAACCAAAGATTGTAAATATCAGTTAAGTTCTTTTATTTATTTGCTTATATGAACACACATACTAAACTCATGTCATTGTGTTTACCTCTCGAAAATAAAGTACATGTATTTTATTTGACACATTCCCTTTTATTCTTTTTGTTTGTTACAGTCCACTGCCATTATAACGAGGTGCTCGGGACCAAGCCAATTTCCTTGTTAAAATGAAATCATGTTATACTCAAGTTACTGAACACATTGGTTTGTTTAAAATTGGGACTGATGAGAATTGCCTGATAATAAAATCTTGGTGTGTCCATGTTTGTTATAATAGGAGTGGACTGTATAACATTTTCCATATACCCATTGACTATTTTAAATGTTCTACTGAATGGATTGGACTGAAAGGATGAAGTGAATTTGGCAAACTGAGTAGGTGCATCGATGCAGAGAAAAGAGCTGTAGGATCGAGTAGGGTGACTATTCTACAGTGGAAACTTTTGACAATGAGGTCATGTGCAACCAAGAAATCTTAACCCCCAAAAGCTGGTAAATTACCTTGTCATTTCAGGTATAACTGATCTCTTTATATCAAGTTTGCACTTTATGATTTAGTTGAATGTACAGAGTCGTTGACTGGATGTGTGAGATGGTAGTGCTTGAGAAATCCATGAAAGTAAAGGATGAGTGATCCCCCCCCCTATTTCCTTACTATTTTTTTTCCTATTTTCTTACTATTTTCCCCTATTTTCTTACTAATTTTTTCCTATTTTCTTACTATTTTTGTTCCTATTTCCTTACTATTTTTTCCTATTTTCTTACTATTTTTCCCTATTTTCTTACTATTTTTTCCTATTTTCTTACTATTTTTTTCCTATTTTCTTACTATTTTTTTCCTATTTTCTTACTATTTTTTCTTATTTTCTTACTATTTTTTCCTATTTTTTTCCTATTTTCTTACTATTTTTTTTCCTATTTCCTTACTATTTTTTTCTTATTTTCTTACTATTTTTCCCTATTTTCTTACTATTTTTTCCTATTTTCTAACTATTTTTTTCCTATTTTCTCACTGTTTTTTTCCTATTTCCTCACTTTTTTTCACTGTTCACTAAGCACCTAGTTATCACTATTTTTTTACTATTTTCTTCACTTTTTTCTACACTATTTTTTCCCTATTTATTTCCTATTTTCAGGTCTGAAAAATAGGAAAAAAATAGGAAAAAAATAGAAAAAATTGTTTCAACCCTATTTTTTTCCTATTTCCAAAACTATTTTTTCCCTATTTTTTCCTTTTAAAAAAATAGGGAAAAAATAAGAAAAAAAATATATTTTCGGGACTATTTTTTCCCTGTTTTTCCCCTATTTTTTTCCTATTTTTTTACGACTGGGGTTATGTTTAGTTAAAACAAAACATTCATGTACCATGTGAATGAAGATTTTTCAAATAAATACAAACCAATACAAAATACAATAACTACAATTGCGAATTTGGGAAATGAAGAGTATTCACCTCTTTCTGATGTACTGGCTCCAGGACTCTGGTTTTTATTTGTAACTGTCAGACATGCTGGCAGCTTCGTGGTTGATGTCATGACTTCACTCTGTTCTTTCCTGATGAAATTGTCTGAGGGAAAATGTTATAAAATTTGTTTATTAAGGGAGGCCTCATAATCACCATCATCATCGCCAATGCTGTACGTTATTCCTGGGGATTAACTTATTTGTATTACTGTAGGCGGTGTCAGACAGAGGCCAAAAATCCGGAAAATAGTTATCCAGATTATAGTTATCCACTTAATTGGCTGTCTGTCATCGATTATCACTTTAAAGATCCCTTAAAAAATCCTCTAACGAAACAAGAAAATTCTCCCTTGAAAAATCCTTTCAAAGGAGAATTTTCTTGTTTCGTTAGAGGATTTTTTTAAGGGATTTTTCTGTCTGACACCAATGTTGAAATAATTACCTTTAAGGTCAGTGCAAGGTCAACGTTTGACTTAATGATTGGCTGGCATATGGTTTTTAACGCGATATCATAACCTGCGGACAATTATATTAGCCCGCATTTAATGAGACGCGTTAATTGCACATTACTTTTGATTGAACGTGTGATGTTACGACGCTTATCTACCTAAACGGCGCGTGCGCAATGGCCCATTAATAATCTAGATAATACTTATCCGGATTATTCGTAGCCTGTCTGTCACCAGTCTGTCACCGACGTAAATGAATAAACTAGATTTCTAAAATCTTGTTTATTCAAGATGCGTCAGAATTTTTCTGTGTGACACCGTCTCATAAGTAAAACCTTGTTTGATACAGGTTGACTCATTGTATGAATGTCGGCCAAGTACATCTAACACCTCAACAGAAGAAATGATTGGAATTGTGCAATTTTTTGTAAGGGAGCTGAGGGTTGCCTAGGGGAAATGATACAAACTTCAACAGTTTAAAACTTTTTGAAAAATACGTTACCTTGACAACGTTTCAAATGAGGTAGAAGCAGAAAAGACTGAATGACCATAGAGTTTTAAGAGATGGAGTCATATTTAGCTCATTCGCTATGTCCCATCTTCGAAGCCGCCAGGAGAAAATATGTCAGGCATGTGCTTAACTGGAAAAGCGTGCCGGCCAATATTTCGCTCAGGGAGTGGGGGTGGGGGTAGTGAGCACTAATTTTTTATTTTTTATTTTTATTTTTTTTCTCCCGAAAATTTGAAAATAATTCCCTCAGTGGGGGAGCACTAAAAATTTGAAAAATTGCACCCCCCCCCCTTGAGCACCAGGGGGGGGGGGGGGAGTCATCTCCAAAAAAAGGTAAAATTAACGTTTCCCCCCCCCCCCCCCCCCCCCCCCTGGATCCGCCACTGGCTTGGCATAATTTGTTGCCAGTTGGGACTCCAGCTCTTAAAACTCCTTGGAATGATATCGCAGTGATAAACACAAATAATCTTTGTAATCACGAGTCTTCCTTCACCCCCAAGATGGAGTATGCCTTTAGAAAATAGTAAAATATCATTCTAAGAATTAATATTATTGAGCCAAGGGTTCATCATGATCACATTCAAAAGTAAACTGATAGCAAAAAAAAATATTCTCTCTATAATGATTGATCACTGACGAGAAAATAGAAAGAGAATAGTCCGACAGTTCACTCTTTTATTTTTTAGATAACACTCTAATAAGACCATTGGTATTCACTTATGAACAAGTGGTCGAAGATGTGATTCTTGGGGATTGAACATACCGTAGATGAAAACAAATATATTCTTCAAAATAAAAATAATAATAATAATGTAATAATTTTGTTTTCCAAGGGGAGCAATTACATCAACTTTAATGTTGTACTTCCTAAGAGCTCTGCAATCTGACAATACCACCAAGAGACTATACCTGAGATATACGGGCGGTTGCACTGTTCTGCTGCTTGTCTCAATCTGCGCCTGATTTCGTAGTTACTGCACTTTTGATCCAGCACCCACTCCTTGAGCATGATGTCCGTCCTGAACATCTCAAGGTCTTCTTCATTCCTGGCAGCTGTGGCGTCTGCAGAAAGTCTGAAAGTGTTTCCAAGTATCTGGCAGTGTGGTTTGGTGATATTGAGAGCAAACTCCTTCAAGACCTCATCTGTCAGTTCGCTCTTGTACTCCCCTCGAACTAAAATTTGAATGAAAGATGCGTTTATTATTTTGCATAATCATAGAGAGGGGCTATTTGATGCAAGGCTAGAGCCCAATAGATTGGCAATGTTGTGGGCTGTCGGTCACCATTAGCTGTCACATCAGCTTGATCTGCTAGGGTCCTCGCATGTTAATTATTCAACAATTGTGAATTTCATCACCATTATACCTGTTTCTTATTAAGGGCTTTAACATAAACTGTCGAAGTCGTTTACAGTATTATTATAACCCTGGTCACTAGATTCAATTACTACTCCAGAGTCCATACACTTGGAAGCATATACCAACTGGTCGCCTTTTTATATGCACACACATGCTAATCCAAATACAACGACATTCTTTTCCTGTTGGATATTCGTTTAGCACCTGGTTGGAGGGGAACAATGTACATAAAATGCCTTGTCCACCGACGTTAGTGCTAAACCGGGGCCCAACCTTTAATGAAAAAAATCATCTTACTCTTATAAAATGTTTTGGATAGTTGATGATACACCTGGCCGTCGCTATCTCCAGTCGTCCTTCCTGCTTTCTCTAAAGCACGACACAGTTGTATCATCTGATTTGACGGCATTAGTTCTGTATGTTTGCTTTTGAAGCCTATCTTTCTAGCTTTCTGAAGTTCATCTTCATCTCTGTACGATTTCGCGGCTGACATCGCTTTCCATCTCTTCATAATTTTGAGGTCATCCCAAATTTCTTCACACCTGGATGGTGCTGAGATGTGGCTATTATCTGCAAGTTTGGTACTGTTTGTGTCTGAATATTGTAACGAATCTACTATGGGTTGAACCGTCTTTCCACAGCTATGAACGTGCCAACAAATGTGCTCCAAGTCGTCATCAGAAACTGCATTGTCTATGCTTGCCAAGAAGTCTGAAAGAAAACAGAAGAAGACAAAAAGGAATTGATCCCTTGACAGGTTTTTGTTGTTGCACATATAAATGTATGTATTCTTCCCCTGCATGCAATTCTGAGTATACAGATTAAACAAAACTCCTTAAAGGTACTATGTCCCATTTGCAGGCCCAAAAAATGAAAAGGTTAAATTACAACGGCATTTGAAAGATAATACTAATTTATAACTTCCCTAAAAAAGGTGGGGCTTGAAAATGTTTTGAAGTGGGAAAATAACGACTATTAGTTGTCAAATCGACTTAGGAGCTATAGAGCCAATAAGTAATGGTCTTGATTTTCAGACGAATGGTCATACGTTTTATGCTGCGCAATGATTCAATCAGTTTAATTTTGGCCATCACAAGAAGTGGGTTATTGATGTAGACAAATGCTCATGTACCCTTTACAGCTCATTTTATGTATGTTATTACCAAAGAAGAAAAATACCAGTCAGTCACTCAATAGCGTCTGACAGCGAAGTCTAGCAAGTAAACAGGTTTCCTTGCATAATTTGAATATTAGGACACTGCTAACGTTTAAATTTTACAGATAGGACATACATGACATATTCATAATTCCTGCAAAGTTCTACAGAATTTGAGGTTGGCTGCAAAAGGGACATAGTACCTTTAAAAGACGTCCGTTATTTGAAAGAGAATAAACTACTGTCTCTTCTGAATGTCTGAATTCACTCTTTTCCTGACCATAACAAACAAGCAGGAATATATTTTTAAAAAGGGTGTTCTAAATATACAGGTACTCACAGTTGTCAACTTAAGGTTAAAACTATATATACAAATTAGAATGAATGTTAAGAAGAGGTACCTTCATTTTCAAGATTATTTTTCTCCATTGCAGAGTAGAGCAAAGTGGCACTCCCAGACGAGCTCTCCTTCCATTTGCACAAGTATTTATAGAGATCAGCTTTCGTACTTTCAGACTCCAGCTCTCCTTTGGAATCCTCTATCAACTCGGCCACAATAAGACTCAAAGATCCATTGTCAAACTTCTCAACAAGTTTTTCCAGTTCGAAATAAGAAATAATTCCTATATGAAAAATAAATCATAATTTTATTGCAGCTCATGGTACTCAATACAAAAGATGTATACATATATGTATTACTATATATAATAGAATAAAGAATTCAATTTGGAAAGTCCTATGTCACGGCAATATACAAATAATAATTAAAACAATTGAAATAAAAATCCTTGGGAGTTCACTTCTTCACTATGACCAGTTTCAATTTTATTTCCTCTGATATTGAATTCAAAATTACAAATTACAATATTCAAACAATACGTATGAGCGCATTAATTGGACTAAAATTGGCAATATACAAATAATAATTGAAACAATTTGTAAATTGTTATTTTGAATTCACTTTCTGAAGGAATTAAATTGAAACCGGTCATAGTGAAGAAGTGAACTCTCTCAAGGAATATTCTTTCAATTGTTTTAATTATCATTAAAAGCTATATGGCCCTTGAGTTGTATTTGGGGTGCCGTATTTTCATTTTTAATTATCTGTACGTGCCACTAATGCAACAAGGTTGACATGGAAGTCTGACCGCGTTATTTCCGTGCTTGCTATGCTTTACATGTGTAAAAAGCACTGTCAAAATAACTTTTGAAAGCCCGAAAATTCATTTTCTAAACGCAAATACCAGCAAATTATAAGAACCAGATATACTCTGTGTAAGCCTTTTATGGGTAAGCCTTTTATAAGTAAGAATACAGATTTTATTTAGCAACATCAATCATTTTCTCAACCCTATATGCAGGATGTGCAGTACCTGAATTTGATGAGCTTTTCAATGGTACATATTCTTTTGAAAGAGATTTATTAAAGTGGCAAAAGCCCACTCCTCGCTCCAAAACAGAAAATTTATGAGAAGTTGAAAAATATTGTTTACTTCCCTTAAACTTTTTACAATAGAAATAAAAACTAACCGTCTATTTTTCCCAGCGAAGACGGTTGATCGACCACCGTGGCGTCCATGTATATACCTATATGAAAAAGTGATATTGGAAATTACATATATCAACACACGAAAATGATATTTGCCTGTTTTAATGATAGTTATTTGAAAATAAAACTATAATTACCTAGAGTAAAACATGTGTGCATATTGTATGGCCTGATTTCTTTGCCCTTATATGCCATTTCGAACTACAACCAAATTTAAAAAATGTCATTTTAGTGGAATCATATTTATGAACTTAAAATAGTACATATTTGCATAATCCATTTAGTTTATACCTGTCCAATGGTACATAGAGTCTATGTTTCTTCAAAATTAATTAATTATTCAGTGTTACTTGACATTTCAATTTTTTTAAAGTAGAAGGATAGAAACAATAGAAAAAAATAGGGACCCAGAAAGCCCTCCTTCTATGTTATCAGATTCCTTGCATGCAAAGTTAGACAAATATCATGAAGGTGGGGGGGGGGGGGGGGGGGGAGTAATTGTCATTGGGGGTAATTCTCCGGGATATAGTTGTCAATACCAGTCAATATCTGTTAGTATACAAATGATGCATGCACATGAGTTCATTATACGATCTATCCGCACTCGAGTTGAGGCTGTGTGTATCTATTGCACGAAGCCGTTTGGCTGAGTGCGATAGATAAACACAGCATCAACGAGGGTGGATAGATCGTATAATGAACGAATGAAAACATGCATCATTTGTTTTATACAACAAAACTCCTAGGTCCTTGTTATTTGATGTAAAAGAATTCATTCAAGATTGTCGTGACAGTATATGGCTGACAACTTAATCTCAAGTTTAATAAGGCTTAATTTAGTGCGCACACATAGCTATAGATATAACAAGCGCACTAATTACCTCTATACCCATTTACGCATAGTGCTGCGCAAGAATTGGCTCATGCTCATGCAGTATTAAGCGCTCTAACCTCTACGCGCGCTACTGCGCTCTGAAAATGAGTTCAATAGTGCTGGAAATTATTGCACTCCTTTTCATGAAAACAAGTGCAATAGGCTCAGTAAAGGAATCACACGTGACCGCGCATGACCAATCATTTGATTAGGATCTGGGAGTGAGTTGTATAATATTAGATAGCCTTTATGGCACTTTGTTATCTAAAATCAAGGATAATTGTAATCGCATGCCTTGTTTGTTTCTCAAGCCGTCCAGCCTTCCACGACAAATGCGCGTGGCTAAGACAATGCAAACAATCAGTACCGGTATGCGCTTATGCGTGCAGGCTTGCTTGGATACGGTATGACGCACTGTATACTAATTTGACCGGTCGTTCAATATACATGTAACATCGGAAAATGACCAGGAGTGAAAATGTGCTAATTACAATCAACTCAATCTCTATCACGTGAGGACCTGATCAATCACATCTTTGTATCTGTAAGAGCTATCTAATATATAAATAAACCTTGACGCCTCTGTAGTTTCCTTCGACGCAGCAGTACGATTGAAATACAGATCACAGCCAGTGCAGTAACTGAATTTGATGAGCTTTTCAATGGTACATATTCTTTTGAAAGAGATTTATTAAAGTGGCAAAAGCCCACTCCTCGCTCCAAAACAGAAAATTTATGAGAAGTTGAAAAATATTGTTTACTTCCCTTAAACTTTTTACAATAGAAATAAAAACTAACCGTCTATTTTTCCCAGCGAAGACGGTTGATCGACCACCGTGGCGTCCATGTATATACCTATATGAAAAAGTGATATTGGAAATTACATATATCAACACACGAAAATGATATTTGCCTGTTTTAATGATAGTTATTTGAAAATAAAACTATAATTACCTAGAGTAAAACATGTGTGCATATTGTATGGCCTGATTTCTTTGCCCTTATATGCCATTTCGAACTACAACCAAATTTAAAAAAATGTCATTTTAGTGGAATCAAATTTATGAACTTAAAATAGTACATATTTGCATAATCCATTTAGTTTATACCTGTCCAATGGTACATAGAGTCTATGTTTCTTCAAAATTAATTAATTATTCAGTGTTACTTGACATTTCAATTTTGTTAAAGTAGAAGGATAGAAACAATAGAAAAAAATAGGGACCCAGAAAGCCCTCCTTCTATGTTATCAGATTCCTTGCATGCAAAGTTAGACAAATATCATGAAGGTGGGGGGGGGGGGGAGTAATTGTCATTGGGGGTAATTCTCCGGGATACAGTTGTCAATACCAGTCAATATCTGTTAGTATACAAATGATGCATGCACATGAGTTCATTATACGATCTATCCGCACTCAAGTTGAGGCTGTGTGTATCTATTGCACGAAGCCGTTTGGCTGAGTGCGATAGATAAACACAGCATCAACGAGGGTGGATAGATCGTATAATGAACGAATGAAAACATGCATCATTTGTTTTATACAACAAAACTCCTAGGTCCTTGTTATTTGATGTAAAAGAATTCATTCAAGATTGTCGTGACAGTATATGGCTGACAACTTAATCTCAAGTTTAATAAGGCTTAATTTAGTGCGCACACATAGCTATAGATATAACAAGCGCACTAATTACCTCTATACCCATTTACGCATAGTGCTGCGCAAGAATTGGCTCATGCTCATGCAGTATTAAGCGCTCTAACCTCTACGCGCGCTACTGCGCTCTGAAAATGAGTTCAATAGTGCTGGAAATTATTGCACTCCTTTTCATGAAAACAAGTGCAATAGGCTCAGTAAAGGAATCACACGTGACCGCGCATGACCAATCATTTGATTAGGATCTGGGAGTGAGTTGTATAATATTAGATAGCCTTTATGGCACTTTGTTATCTAAAATCAAGGATAATTGTAATCGCATGCCTTGTTTGTTTCTCAAGCCGTCCAGCCTTCCACGACAAATGCGCGTGGCTAAGACAATGCAAACAATCAGTACCGGTATGCGCTTATGCGTGCAGGCTTGCTTGGATACGGTATGACGCACTGTATACTAATTTGACCGGTCGTTCAATATACATGTAACATCGGAAAATGACCAGGAGTGAAAATGTGCTAATTACAATCAACTCAATCTCTATCACGTGAGGACCTGATCAATCACATCTTTGTATCTGTAAGAGCTATCTAATATATAAATAAACCTTGACGCCTCTGTAGTTTCCTTCGACGCAGCAGTACGATTGAAATACAGATCACAGCCAGTGCAGTAACTGAATTTGATGAGCTTTTCAATGGTACATATTCTTTTGAAAGAGATTTATTAAAGTGGAAAAAGCCCACTCCTCGCTCCAAAACAGAAAATTTATGAGAAGTTGAAAAATATTGTTTACTTCCCTTAAACTTTTTACAATAGAAATAAAAACTAACCGTCTATTTTTCCCAGCGAAGACGGTTGATCGACCACCGTGGCGTCCATGTATATACCTATATGAAAAAGTGATATTGGAAATTACATATATCAACACACGAAAATGATATTTGCCTGTTTTAATGATAGTTATTTGAAAATAAAACTATAATTACCTAGAGTAAAACATGTGTGCATATTGTATGGCCTGATTTCTTTGCCCTTATATGCCATTTCGAACTACAACCAAATTTAAAAAATGTCATTTTAGTGGAATCATATTTATGAACTTAAAATAGTACATATTTGCATAATCCATTTAGTTTATACCTGTCCAATGGTACATAGAGTCTATGTTTCTTCAAAATTAATTAATTATTCAGTGTTACTTGACATTTCAATTTTTTTAAAGTAGAAGGATAGAAACAATAGAAAAAAATAGGGACCCAGAAAGCCCTCCTTCTATGTTATCAGATTCCTTGCATGCAAAGTTAGACAAATATCATGAAGGTGGGGGGGGGGGGGGGGAGTAATTGTCATTGGGGGTAATTCTCCGGGATATAGTTGTCAATACCAGTCAATATCTGTTAGTATACAAATGATGCATGCACATGAGTTCATTATACGATCTATCCGCACTCGAGTTGAGGCTGTGTGTATCTATTGCACGAAGCCGTTTGGCTGAGTGCGATAGATAAACACAGCATCAACGAGGGTGGATAGATCGTATAATGAACGAATGAAAACATGCATCATTTGTTTTATACAACAAAACTCCTAGGTCCTTGTTATTTGATGTAAAAGAATTCATTCAAGATTGTCGTGACAGTATATGGCTGACAACTTAATCTCAAGTTTAATAAGGCTTAATTTAGTGCGCACACATAGCTATAGATATAACAAGCGCACTAATTACCTCTATACCCATTTACGCATAGTGCTGCGCAAGAATTGGCTCATGCTCATGCAGTATTAAGCGCTCTAACCTCTACGCGCGCTACTGCGCTCTGAAAATGAGTTCAATAGTGCTGGAAATTATTGCACTCCTTTTCATGAAAACAAGTGCAATAGGCTCAGTAAAGGAATCACACGTGACTGCGCATGACCAATCATTTGATTAGGATCTGGGAGTGAGTTGTATAATATTAGATAGCCTTTATGGCACTTTGTTATCTAAAATCAAGGATAATTGTAATCGCATGCCTTGTTTGTTTCTCAAGCCGTCCAGCCTTCCACGACAAATGCGCGTGGCTAAGACAATGCAAACAATCAGTACCGGTATGCGCTTATGCGTGCAGGCTTGCTTGGATACGGTATGACGCACTGTATACTAATTTGACCGGTCGTTCAATATACATGTAACATCGGAAAATGACCAGGAGTGAAAATGTGCTAATTACAATCAACTCAATCTCTATCACGTGAGGACCTGATCAATCACATCTTTGTATCTGTAAGAGCTATCTAATATATAAATAAACCTTGACGCCTCTGTAGTTTCCTTCGACGCAGCAGTACGATTGAAATACAGATCACAGCCAGTGCAGTAACTGAATTTGATGAGCTTTTCAATGGTACATATTCTTTTGAAAGAGATTTATTAAAGTGGAAAAAGCCCACTCCTCGCTCCAAAACAGAAAATTTATGAGAAGTTGAAAAATATTGTTTACTTCCCTTAAACTTTTTACAATAGAAATAAAAACTAACCGTCTATTTTTCCCAGCGAAGACGGTTGATCGACCACCGTGGCGTCCATGTATATACCTATATGAAAAAGTGATATTGGAAATTACATATATCAACACACGAAAATGATATTTGCCTGTTTTAATGATAGTTATTTGAAAATAAAACTATAATTACCTAGAGTAAAACATGTGTGCATATTGTATGGCCTGATTTCTTTGCCCTTATATGCCATTTCGAACTACAACCAAATTTAAAAAAATGTCATTTTAGTGGAATCAAATTTATGAACTTAAAATAGTACATATTTGCATAATCCATTTAGTTTATACCTGTCCAATGGTACATAGAGTCTATGTTTCTTCAAAATTAATTAATTATTCAGTGTTACTTGACATTTCAATTTTTTTAAAGTAGAAGGATAGAAACAATAGAAAAAAATAGGGACCCAGAAAGCCCTCCTTCTATGTTATCAGATTCCTTGCATGCAAAGTTAGACAAATATCATGAAGGTGGGGGGGGGGGGAGTAATTGTCATTGGGGGTAATTCTCCGGGATATAGTTGTCAATACCAGTCAATATCTGTTAGTATACAAATGATGCATGCACATGAGTTCATTATACGATCTATCCGCACTCGAGTTGAGGCTGTGTGTATCTATTGCACGAAGCCGTTTGGCTGAGTGCGATAGATAAACACAGCATCAACGAGGGTGGATAGATCGTATAATGAACGAATGAAAACATGCATCATTTGTTTTATACAACAAAACTCCTAGGTCCTTGTTATTTGATGTAAAAGAATTCATTCAAGATTGTCGTGACAGTATATGGCTGACAACTTAATCTCAAGTTTAATAAGGCTTAATTTAGTGCGCACACATAGCTATAGATATAACAAGCGCACTAATTACCTCTATACCCATTTACGCATAGTGCTGCGCAAGAATTGGCTCATGCTCATGCAGTATTAAGCGCTCTAACCTCTACGCGCGCTACTGCGCTCTGAAAATGAGTTCAATAGTGCTGGAAAATATTGCACTCCTTTTCATGAAAACAAGTGCAATAGGCTCAGTAAAGGAATCACACGTGACCGCGCATGACCAATCATTTGATTAGGATCTGGGAGTGAGTTGTATAATATTAGATAGCCTTTATGGCACTTTGTTATCTAAAATCAAGGATAATTGTAATCGCATGCCTTGTTTGTTTCTCAAGCCGTCCAGCCTTCCACGACAAATGCGCGTGGCTAAGACAATGCAAACAATCAGTACCGGTATGCGCTTATGCGTGCAGGCTTGCTTGGATACGGTATGACGCACTGTATACTAATTTGACCGGTCGTTCAATATACATGTAACATCGGAAAATGACCAGGAGTGAAAATGTGCTAATTACAATCAACTCAATCTCTATCACGTGAGGACCTGATCAATCACATCTTTGTATCTGTAAGAGCTATCTAATATATAAATAAACCTTGACGCCTCTGTAGTTTCCTTCGACGCAGCAGTACGATTGAAATACAGATCACAGCCAGTGCAGTAACTAAATTTGATGAGCTTTTCAATGGTACATATTCTTTTGAAAGAGATTTATTAAAGTGGAAAAAGCCCACTCCTCGCTCCAAAACAGAAAATTTATGAGAAGTTGAAAAATATTGTTTACTTCCCTTAAACTTTTTACAATAGAAATAAAAACTAACCGTCTATTTTTCCCAGCGAAGACGGTTGATAGACCACCGTGGCGTCCATGTATATACCTATATGAAAAAGTGATATTGGAAATTACATATATCAACACACGAAAATGATATTTGCCTGTTTTAATGATAGTTATTTGAAAATAAAACTATAATTACCTAGAGTAAAACATGTGTGCATATTGTATGGCCTGATTTCTTTGCCCTTATATGCCATTTCGAACTACAACCAAATTTAAAAAAATGTCATTTTAGTGGAATCAAATTTATGAACTTAAAATAGTACATATTTACATAATCCATTCATTTCATTTGAAAGTACTCTCAATGACATTGTTTAGGTTACATTTTGAAAAAAATGATTCGCTTTTATACCTGTCCAATGGTACATAGAGTCTAGACCGTCTATGCTTCTTCAAAATTAATTAATTATTCAGTGTTACTTGACATTTCAATTTTTTTAAAGTAGAAGGATAGAAACAATAGAAACTAGATGGAATTCGACTGCGCGCAGTCGAAAATGATGCCTCCGTCATAGAGCAATTTTACAAACCGAAACGGAAGAAATTTTTCAAATTCAAGTAAGTGAAAATTCTCCAGTGGTTCTTGAGATATCGCGATAACGATCTCAATGTATGGAATTTCATAAGTTGACCTCTGTGACCCTTGACCTTTGACCTACGTGCTCCAAAATCTAATCAGATTGTCTTCCTATGGTGATACACACTATCATTAAGTTTGAAGTTTTTACATCTCCAGTGGTTCTTGAGATATCATGATAACAATCTCAATGTATGGAATTTCATAAGTTGACCTCTGTGACCCTTGACCTTTGACCTACGTGCTCCAAAATCTAATCAGATTGTTTTCCTATAGTGATACACACTATCACTAAGTTTGAAGTTTAAATCTCCAGTGGTTCTTGAGATATCATGATAACAATCTCAATGTATGGAATTTCATAACTTGACCTCTGTGACCCTTGACCTTTGACCTACGTGCTCCAAAATCTAATCAGATTGTTTTCCTATAGTGATACACACTATCACTAAGTTTGAAGTTTAAATCTCCAGTGGTTCTTGAGATATCATGATAACAATCTCAATGTATGGAATTTCATAAGTTGACCTCTGTGACCCTTGACCTTTGACATACGTGCTCCAAAATCTAATCAGATCGTCTTCCTATGGTGATACATACTATCCTTAAGTTTGAAGTTTAAATCTCAAATGGTTCTTGAGATATCGCGCTAACAAACTCAATACAAGGAATTTCATAAGTTGACCTCTGTGACCTGTGACCTTTGACCTACGTACTCCAAAATCTAATCAGATCGTCTTCCTATGGTGATAAATACTATTCCCGAGTCTTAAGTTTAAATCTTAAATGGTTCTTGAGATATTGTGATAACGGTCAAACTGGACGGACGTACGGACGGACGTACGGACGTACGGACGTACGGACGGACAACCCGAAAACATGATGCCTCCGGCACCACCTTCGGTGGCGGAGGCATAAAAATAGGGACCCAGAAAGCCCTCCTTCTATGTTATCAGATTCCTTGCATGCAAAGTTAGACAAATATCATGAAAGTGGGGGGGGGGGGGGGGGGGGAGTAATTGTCATTGGGGGTAATTCTCTGGGATATAGTTGTCAATACCAGTCAATATCTGTTAGTATAAGATGGCCTTTATGGCACTTTGTGATCTAAAATCAAGGATAATTGTAATCTCATGCCTCGTTTGTTTCTCAAGCCGTCCAGCCTTCCGCGACAAATGCGCGTGGCTAAGACAATTCAACCAATCGGTACATGTTATTGCGCGCAGGGTTGCTTGGATACGGTATGACGCACAAATAAACTGATTTGACCGGTTGATCAATATAACATTGAAAAATGACCGGGAGTGATTACAATCAACTCAATCTCTATCACGCGAGGACCTTTTGATTAATCACAACTTTGTATCTGTAAGAGCTATCTAATATATAAATATACCTTGACGCCTCTGTTGTTTCCTTCGACGCCACAGCACGGTTGAAATACAGATCACAGCCAATAGAATGATGAATATAACTGGTACAACTGTAGATAAATGAAAAATATTATAAATAGACAGGTGCTTTTTGTTGTACTCGTTTTTCTCCTCCCGTGGACATTCATAAAGTATTCATATGGGAAAAATACCTGTATATTGTCTTACGCCCTTTTAAACAGTGCTGAAGCAAATTATAACACGTACCTTGAAATTAGAATTTTTTTTAGCATCTAATTTTTTTTCCTTTTCTGGTTTTGTTTATAAATGGTTTAAATAATGATATGGAAGAATACACAGGTTCTTACCAACTTTAGCCACACTTCCATCTGTCTTGTCAATCGGAATTATGGATCCAGCAGGCATGGGAGAAGAGCTTGTTCGTAGGTTAACTAAAACAGTTGTCGTTCTCTGCTCTTGCGATCCAGGAATAGACGCAAAACAAACATAGCTGATTTCATTGGCTGTAGCGATGGTGGATATGGTTTTGTTTTTCGTCCCGTCAAGATTCGTAACTTCAATCGTGTCTTTCGTGTAAAGACGTGTGGATCCATGTAGAAAGTAAAGATCAATATCTGGAAAGTAACCTGAAGCTGAGCAGCTTATCTCGACTGATTGACTCGTTGAAATAATACAGGGAGTTTTAGTGTAGTTTGGAGAGATCATTTGACATTCATTGATGATTGGGTAGGGGTCCTTGGGGGGAGCTATAAAAAGAAACAATGTTGACAATCATTGAATATCTTTCTTTGAAGGAGGTGCTACAAACAGGCAATAAACAGGCATGTTCCTAAAAAAACATCTTTTGCAGTATCTAACAATATTTGTCTAACTTTGCATGCAAGAAATCTGAAAATATAGAAGGAGGGCTTTCTGGGTTCCAAATTTTCTCTCTATTTTTTCTTCCCTGTTTTTAAATCATCTTAGAAATGATTGAAATATATCCGATTAGACAGCGCTTCAAGAAAGTTATACAACTTAGAATAAACGTGCCAGGGAGTTTAGCAATTACGCAACGGAAAATATGTTATTTTGTACAAGGATACATGTAGGATTGAATGAAAGAGGCGGCTGATTTTGGTCCATTGGATCTGCATATGGTAATTTATCAAGCCTATTGATCAACAAATATTGCTATGACTTCGAAAATTATATTCTAGAAAAACATGTCTAACCCATTACTCACAAAAAACACTGATGTCTGTAAAGTTGTGTATCGGTATCCCCTTGTAGTTTGCTACCCTGCATACATATCGTCCTTGTTCTACAATGCTGACTTCTTTGATGATTAAGGAGAACTCTGCATTCATCTCCATGATCTGACACAGCTTTTCACCTTCACATGATCCTGTAACAGGGTCTCCTGTAATCCATGAGACCAGGGTTGGTGCATGCATTGGATCATCTCCTTTCTTCCAGTAGACAGCTGATGGTGTCCCTCGAAACTGACATTTCAGGACAACGCTGTCCCCGATTCTTACTGCTTTATGTACATCAGTGTACACAACATCTTCAGGAACATCACAAGCAACACCTGAATAAAAAATATGGGATCAATCAATGACCAAACTTCTAAGTTTGGAAAAGGGTAATTAATGGGGCCCAGCACTATCTTCTTCGGCATATATCATGAAAGAGAATGGCAATTTCAAAGTAAATTTGTAGGATCTTTTGCTGGCTTAATTTGGACAATGCATCGGTCGCTCAGGTAATAGCAACTGAGGACAAACAGGATTTCTTTTCGGCCTGTATTATAATTCTATTAATGACAGTGCTCTAAAATCAAAGCACAGTATTAAAGTGAAAAAAGTTTTTGATAGACATGTGTGGAGCCCCACAGAATACCCCCCCCCCTATTTTTTTGTATATCTTATTATCTTTGACTATGTATGTATGACACAAGTATATTTCTAGCCCCCATATAGTCCCTCCTCTTAGTTAATTAGGTACCCCCTCCTGCGAGAGTGGCCTCACCCACAACTAACCTAAACACACCAGCTGGGATACCAGGAGTGGCTTCTCACTTTGTTTTTGCCACGCACCTCAGTCAACACCTTTCTTATTTTGTCTTCCTTTAATAGGTATGCCCCCTCCCTCGGGGTGTGGGCGCTACAAATTTGGCAACCTTGCCAGGACGGCCATCGTCGAAGAGACACGAGGACGATGTGTCGTCCTATGACACGAACAGTTGGATAATCGAAGAAGCAGTGACGTAACGATTAGGATAAAAAGGACCAGAAGTCAGAGAGCCGGAGAAGACCATCCCTGATTGGAAATGAGGTTGGCTCAGCATCAGAGAGAATGGGACAAGCTGCAGAGAGGAGAAAGGCTACTACGAGCGTGCAGTATGCAGCAGGGTGCTACAGCAAGGGGATAGGGCCCTGGTGCGAAGTCTGGCCCCGCCAGGTGGCCAAGGAAAGCTTCACCCTTACTGGGAGGAAATAGATGGCGGAGCAGTGAGTGGAGTCAAGGATGTCCAGGGGTTCTCCAAGCCGCCACCCTCAACAGCCCAGCCACGGCCTGCACCGTTCCAGTACCGGTATGACCCACCATTCTACCTCCCCATCAAAGGCCATTACAGATGCAGACGCAGTAGCCCACCAGCAACCAACCCACTACTAACAGCAGATGACAGAAGACCAGCTGAAATTTTCCTAGCAAGCGAGTCCATCATTGAGGAATGCCTCAAACTGATTTTTTTTTTATTTTTACATTAGATGCATCGTTATATAGAATCATGTGTGCTAGCTGTTTAATAAACCAGAAATACGAGTAACGCGAAGTAGTAAGATGAAGCAAGTTGTAAATCGTTTCATGAATTGTGGTGTAATATAAGGAAACAAGCGATGACACTCGATAGTGATCAATTGATCTATGTGATAAAGTCTTCGGAATGAGTCGACACTTCCCAAGAAACCTTCACCGTATGTCAGGCGCGCCCGTAGAATGGGTTAATGTTTCGCAAAGTTTATTTGTATGTAAGAAAAAGCCACGTAATTCTGATGTGATGTTATGATATGTAATTCTGAGACTTTGAGTATTAGTATTAGGTTTCGCTATAAAGATTTGCAACACGTTAATGAACTCGATGTAGTACATGTATTTCACAGAAGAATTGGAGCACGATGATTTGTGAGCGTAGCAAGGACATGGACTATAAATAATCATGGACTTTGGTGATAAGTCTCACCTCCTTGATCGGTCCTAAGCTCATGACGACATTGAACGAGAACTTAATGAACATTAGAAATGTTGTACTATATTAATGAATTGTTATAAATGTTTGAAAGTTGAAATGTCCAGGAGACATTTATTTTTGGAGGGGAAGGTGTGGAGCCCCACAGAATACCCCCCCCCCCCTATTTTTTTGTATATCTTATTATCTTTGACTATGTATGTATGACACAAGTATATTTCTAGCCCCCATATAGTCCCTCCTCTTAGTTAATTAGGTACCCCCTCCTGCGAGAGTGGCCTCACCCACAACTAACCTAAACACACCAGCTGGGATACCAGGAGTGGCTTCTCACTTTGTTTTTGCCACGCATCTCAGTCAACACCTTTCTTATTTTGTCTTCCTTTAATAGGTATGCCCCCTCCCTCGGGGTGTGGGCGCTACACATGCTATTATTGTTTATAAGATTTGCCAGTGGACTGTTCTTGTACCTAGGACTACATTTCCTTGTTTCCTTTTGAAAAGCATTATATACGGAGGTGGTAGAGTTGTTTTAACAAAAAAAAGAGGAATCAAATAACAGTTTCAAAGGCATCATAAGGAAAAACACTTTTAACTATATACTGTTTGGTTAATTAAATGCTCAAGTTAATCCATGTCAAACTATTTTTTATTCCATTCATCACTGGGTCTCACAAATTGTACATAATTTGAAGAAGAAGAAAAAAAAAAGGGGGGCCTGTTGATTTCATTGTCGCGAAAGAGTGTGTTAACTAGTTTTCCACATCAGTCATTTATAACAGAATGTAAGGAATAGATATTCAAGTCGTTTAAATTGAAATAATCAAAATTGAAACAGATTGAAAATTAACTATAACTTGTTTTTATGTAGTCTTACAGATCAGTCGTTTATATGAATTAAATCAATAAATAGGACTTACATGAAACACAATCAAATGAAATATTGAAGGAGAAAATATGATGATGATTAAAGCTTTACGAAAGGGCATGAGAGCATTGACTTGGGTTTGAACCCAAATTTGTTTTGGCAAAGTGAAAAAAATAATATAAAAAAAACATATTGTGAACCCTTAGTTTTTCTCATTTTCTTCAATTTTCTCTTTAATCAAATTGAATTCAATGTAAGACTTAATGAATACATAAACCTGTGTCTGATTAAAATAGAATAAGTAAATTGGCGACTTATTTTTTTTTCTAATGTTATTTGTAGGCAATTTCACATTGAAAAATGAATTCAATACATTATAAAGAAATTGATATTAATTTGTGCTATTTTAATAAATAAATGCCTGATATTCAAGACTAGGTAAACACCTTTATTTGAAGTTTTAGAATATCTAAGCAAATTATTTGATTATGTTTCATGTTATTTATTGATTTAGTTCTTATAAACGCCTGATCTACAAGACTACTCAAAAGTAGCAAGTTCATTACGGCTGCCTTATAAGCCTGTTCAATGTACCGAACCAGACTGGCCAGAAGATACACACAAAATGGTCATTGATTTTGTGTAGACAGTCTGTCTGGAATCTCTGTAAAATGCGCAAAATTGAACAGCTAAGATTTTTTTCTCTTCTCTTAATTCTGCTTCCATTTAATTTTGTTAATGCAACTTGAATTTGGCGTAAATATTCATAAATGAATGATATAAACCCTTAAAATCTAAAACAACAACATCATTTAATATTCAATCTGCTACAACTTTGATTATTTCAATTTTAAAATCATTTAAATTTCTATAATGTCTTAGGTACACATCGGGCCTCTGGAGATTTTGGCTGAATAGCCTGCTGACACATGGGAATAGATCATTATGTTGGTGTTATCAGTATCCAGCCTCTCATGGGTGCAGGATATAGTACTTGTTGTTGTTATAATTGTTCTGGTTGTTGAGCAGAGATTGTTACAACTTCAATAGATAATTGTTATACATGTACTTATTTTAATCTTACAATTAGTACAGGTACAGCTTAGAAGTTAGAGTTAGATTGTATATACCTAGTGTAACAGTTTGAATTTGTCTTTATATTTCAGTTAGTAAATTTCTCATCTCTTCCTTATCCATTATTACATATTCATTTATATATTTGCATTCTTCATTTGCATATTCATTTTCCCTGCTCATGTTCCCATTTCATTCACCTTCTTACAGCACAGTCTTTCAGTTGCACTACTGCCACACCTTATTTTTCTCTCTCTCCTTCAAACCCATTCCCTTTGTTGTCTTCTCATTCTCTATGCATGGTTGCCTTTTCCTGCCCTAGCAACATGCACTTTCTCTTCTCTCATTCGTTCTCTTTGCCTCTCACCTTTGCTCTATCTAGCCTGTTCACCTCATTCGTTTCTCTTATCACATGACTTTCCCCTGATTGGTTTATTTTGTTATGATGCCTGAGTTGTACTCAGAGCCATGTTATAATATTGAGTATTAAAGTTAGTTCTGTTCCGTCCTTCTTCGTGTGAGGTTGTGTTTTCTACTGTCCTGGTTTTGTTGGAGAGTTTAGATTGTTTTTGATGCAGCATGTTCGATGATTGATTTTGGTTTATAAGTTCCCTCGGTTAATAAACATGTTACAATTGGTGGCAGCGGTGTTTCTGTGTTTTGTCCAGATTGTTTCGAACCAATTTCGCCATGTCGTGCTTTCATATTTTTGCTGCTGTTTGCCTGTACCTTGCTTCTGTTTTCACCCTCCTTCAGCAAGCTTGGTGCTAATTAGCAAGCTATATCATCATACATCCTCTTCTTCAACTCCACCTCACCGTAGTTCTACAATTATTTTGGTGAGTCACCAGTTGATAATTAAGTGTAGTTCACCCTACTTCATTACTTGGGACATACTTGTTGTTTTACAAGGTTCTCCCTTCTTGGTTAATGTGGGTTATGCTGACTTTTCTTGAATTGTTGATGTACAAGACTCATTTTCACCGCTCGAATATCAGTCTTATTGTACTACTTGTGGTTACCTCGTTAGATATTGCTAGCCTTGTCGCACTTGAACTTCATGCATACACGTTTTCCATCATACATCGGAGAGGTCGATCTCATCAGAATGCGGACGCCTTGTCTCGTCACCCTGACAGTCAGCAAGAGCCGCAGAATTCTCGTCCTTCTTCCACTCGGAGTTCTCAGGTGTGCACCCTTAATGCTACATCCTATTCTTCGGTTGGTACCCAAACCATGTCTGAATTAGAATCAGAAGTTCCTCAGCCTTCGTCTTCCCCACCCAACTGCCTCCAAGGACTAGAGCCTAAGCTTCTCCACCACCAGAAGCTAGACAAAGACCTTGAAGATATCCGGCACATGGTTACCAATAATACAAGGCCAACTGTCAAGGAAATCCGTCGCAGCCAGCCTGGAAAGCGCAGACTTCTTTGGCAGCTTTCTCGTCTATCCATCCACAACGATATCTTGTATCGCACGAAAATGGACGAGAAACGATCAGTTAAGCTCTACCAAGCCATAGTCCCAGAAAGCTTAGTGCAAGAAGTTTTGAAGCTTCTTCATGGTCACCCAACTTCAGGACACTTTAGTGCAGAACGGACTCTCGAACGAGCGAAGTCATCCTACTTCTGGCCCTACATACATAGAGATGTCCTTGATTTCTGCGAGAAATGCAGGGCATGTGAGACGATTAGATCACCTCATCCCAGCAACCACGCTCCCCTCAAGAACAGACTCAAACCGTACCGGGTCTTGTCATCCGCCACCAACCACACCCATAGAATCGTACACAAGAACAGACTCAAACCCTACCGATCCGAGTGGACTCCACATACCAGAGTTGACGTCCGATCATCTAACACGGACGTTCCCCCTACCTTCACATGCAGTCAGGAACACCGTCCTTACTTCACCCCTCTGTCTGGTTCCCTACCATTTAGGGACCAGTCAGGGAATGCTACCCCCCTTCTTCCAGTAAATAACCCACCACCTGGGTTACTTGTTCCACCATCGCCAATTCAGGGACCAGCTGGGCTTCTGCCAACACCCCCGGGACTACCTCCACCACCCCTGGGACTACCTCTACCACCCCCAGGACTACAGCCACCACCCCCAGGACCCCCAGGACCCCCAGGACTTCCTCAACGACCCCCTAGACGGCCAAACCAAACTCAAACCAGATCTGGACGGGCTGTCGTCAAACCGACGAGATATGATGATTTTGTGTAAAATTGTTTTTGCAGTCATTTCTTGTTTAAAAGACAATTTCCAAAAACGTGCAGGTCAAAATTTTGTACGGAAAAAAAAAAAAAGAGTAAAAAGGGATTTGATATACAATCGCATTTATTTTTTTTTACAACTTTTTTAAATGCGGGATATCATATAGTCAAGGAGATTTTGATCTTTTCTTTTTTGGTCTCAGCAAAGGAAGTATTTTTCTGTTATTGTTGTATAAGCACTGACTGCAATCTCAATACTTTCAATGTTATTGATGTAATGGATCTGTGTAAAGTACAGACATGACGTTGCTACATGTAAGCGTTTTTTTTTAAAGATAATGTAATATGCTATTTATGGATTCAATTACATGTATTCATGAATTTTGGGAATTAGTGGAACAAAGTGTTCTTATTTTGTTTTTGGAGATTCCAAATCATGACTGTATTTATTGCTCATATTTTTTTTTATTCAAAAAAAAAAAACATTTGGGACAATCGCTTATGATTGTCTTTAGCCATTGAATTGACTTGTTATTTTCTTTTAAAAAAAGAAATAGGAAAGTGACAATTTCTGTATTTTCGGACAAAAATTCATTGTCGACAAATTTTTGTGGTCAGTTTGGAGCACTTCTGCCTTTTAAAATGGTGCTTCTAATTTAGTTGTTAATACAGGGTTCGAATTAAGGGTTTTGATAGTTTCGGAATTCTAGTTGAATGTGTACATAGATCATAGAATTTGGCTTGATTAAAGAGAAAGTTTTGTACTTATGTTGACAAAAGTACATAGATATTGATAGGTAAATGAAAAGTACCCTGATTGCATAACAAATTATATAGGATATGCAATTACATATACTCAAGTTTTAGGTTCAATGAAAATGTTTTTTCTATTACATAGTTTTACTAGTAGTTTGAAAGCAGTCAATTCTTTACGCACCTCTAGAAAATTGAGGACAATTTTTGCGTGGAGGGATATTTATGTAACAGTTTGAATTTGTCTTTATATTTCAGTTAGTAAATTTCTCATCTCTTCCTTATCCATTATTACATATTCATTTATATATTTGCATTCTTCATTTGCATATTCATTTTCCCTGCTCATGTTCCCATTTCATTCACCTTCTTACAGCACAGTCTTTCAGTTGCACTACTGCCACACCTTATTTTTCTCTCTCTCCTTCAAACCCATTCCCTTTGTTGTCTTCTCATTCTCTATGCTTGGTTGCCTTTTCCTGCCCTAGCAACATGCACTTTCTCTTCTCTCATTCGTTCTCTTTGCCTCTCACCTTTGCTCTATCTAGCCTGTTCACCTCATTCGTTTCTCTTATCACATGACTTTCCCCTGATTGGTTTATTTTGTTATGATGCCTGAGTTGTACTCAGAGCCATGTTATAATATTGAGTATTAAAGTTAGTTCTGTTCCGTCCTTCTTCGTGTGAGGTTGTGTTTTCTACTGTCCTGGTTTACTTGAGTTTTGTTGGAGAGTTTAGATTGTTTTTGATGCAGCATGTTCGATGATTGATTTTGGTTTATAAGTTCCCTCGGTTAATAAACACGTTACACTAGTATTAATTATCTTTGTCAGATTTGTTGTTATACTCATCATGTTTATACTCAGCTCTTTTCCCTATATATCTATGTCACATATGTTTTATGGTACGCTGCCTTGTGCAGCTGAGTCTGAAATAAACAAAGTTCTGAATTGAAATTAAATTCCTTAAATTCTATTATAAACGACTGATGTGGAAGACTAATAACCGCACCCTTTCGCGGTATAAACTTCATGCACTGTACTACTACTAGTAGTAGGAGCATGGGCCAATTAGTTCCCCAAAGTAAAAGTTGACAGCCTGGCCCTGGTTAACAATAATGGTGGAATCTCTTACCTGAAACGTAGCATGATATCATAACAATACCCACACATGTCGGGATAAGCCAGAGACTGCCAATACGAGGGTCCATCTTAATTGGTCGTAATCGTGTAAAAGTGTGGTAATAATAATCATCATCCATCGATCTCCTACGCGAAACTGGGTTTTTCCAGCATAACGTCACAGGGGCCGGGGAATCCCCGAATGTCAATTTCAAACCGTAGAGGGCAAGCGTCTCGCCCCGTTTTGCATAGATTTGCCAACTCGTATACTAGGTATAGCACACCAAAAATAAGTACAACAAACACATGTTATTTGATGATTGCAAATGATCAAGCTTTATGAAAGCTTCAAAAAACAAAAAAAAACAGAATTGAAATCGGTCAATGCGTTGTGATTTTATATCATTTTTTTTAATATCGCAAAATTACCGAAAAACCTGCCAGAAATGGTCAAATTGGCAAAAATGGCAAAATTCGACAAAGTTGACAACTTAATTCATCACTTTCTTGGACACAAATAATAAATTATCAGAAACTAAAATATCATCTTTGTGATAAAAAAATACAAAAAAGAAAATTCATATAAACTATCTGTTACCGTTTTGAAAACAGAAGCAAACAAAATAAGTCATTTTTGCCATTTTTGCGAATCTGCAGATATGAAAAAGTTGTGAAAATAACAAATTAAATCATATATGTATAGATCATATTTACACCAAATATTAACAATAATTCCAAACATTTTGCAATGCCAATAAATTATGGCGATGGAAATTACTTGTATCACCGTTACAGCTATTTCCTCATATGTTTCACAAATTATTCAGAAAAAACGATCAAAATGATAAGAATTTTCAGACTTTCAGCTACATCACAGTATAGTTTTGTTTTTTTTAAATGTCAGATTTGAGGATTTATGACGATTTTACTGAGAAACCATTCAACAGGCCATAACATTCCACAGGGACTAAATTTCAGAGAGGGGGTGGGTGTAGTGAGCATATTGATTTGTTTGGCCCTCGAAAATTTGAAAATTGCGCCGATCAAAATTCGCTCAGTGGGGAGGGGGGGGGGCGGTGTAGTGAGCACATTGATTTTTTGGGGGGCCCTCGAAAATTTAAAAAATCGCCACCCCCCCCCCCCTCTTTGAACGCCATGGGGGCCCCATCTCCATAAAAAAGGTTAAATTAACGTGTTTTTACACGTTTTTTTTTTCCTCTTTCTTTTTTTCTACTTCTCTTTAATATATTGTTTTTTAAAAAAAGTGGGGGGGGGGGCTCGAACCCCCCGAGCCACGCCGTTCCGTGGCCCCTGACAAGTGTAGGCCTCTAAATAAGCATATTTCTTGCCTGACTTTACATTGGGAATTTGTCATTTTCCAACATGCGCATACAAAAGTACAAAAAAAGTGAGGAAGAATTCCGGAAAATGAAGCTTTTCACGTTATTTGTAAATCACGACTGAAATCAAATTTTTAAAAAAATGGGGGCCCCATCTCATCAGTACACCAATGGTGTACAGTGGCGTATCTGGCGCTTTGTTTTGGAGGGGGGGGACGAGAGCGGCGCAAAATCATATCTGTTCCCCTTTTTGTTCTTCTTCCTCTTTAAAAAAACAAAATTATTTCCCTTTCTCTCCTCTTCCCATTTCCTTCCCTCCTTCTCTCTCTCTCTCTCTCTCTCTCTCTCTCTCCCTTTCTCTCTCTTTTACTGAGAGGAGGGGGGGGGGGGCAGGACCTTTCAATCCACACCTTGATGGCGGGAAAAATCGCAACTGACCCTATTGACCCTACTGGCATGCTGAAAACAGTTGATTTCAGTTGAAACCAATTAGCCATACTGGTATTAAATTGTTACACCAGTTGATACCAGTTAAAAACAATAGGCCTTACTGGTACATTTACCAGTTGATTCCAGTTTAAAAACCATAAAACCAGAGTTGACCATTTGAGATCAGTTGTTTCCAGAAGATACCAGTTGAAAACCAGTAGATGATTACCAGTTGATTTACCAGTTGAAAACCAATAGATGATTACCAGTTAAAACTAGTAGATGATTGCCAGTTGATTTACCAGTTGAAACTAGTAAAATACCAGTTGAAAACCAGTTCTGAACCATTGTATCTTGTGTATATTCATGCTTAACTTGCATATTTTCACAGAAAATATAATTATCATGATTTGTCAAGCAAATGTGACAATGCACATCAATTTTGTGATTTATATTTTCTTAGTCAAATCATATTTTACATCTAATTTAAGACGTACAGATAGATGTAAAGAATATATGTAATTAATAACAAGTAAAAATATGTATAATTTTGTATAATATGTACGCTCTCTAAATTCTTTAATTGACATTAGAATCAACTGCAATTCACTTCAAATGATCTTTGTGATGGGGCAATTGCAAGAGTCTATAAAAGTCTATATTTGGTGGCCAGATGCCATAAACTATTGATTATTGATTATCAGTTGATTGATAGCCGCTACTGAATAATCGACTGAAAATCAACTGGTACCAGTACCAGTTCATTCCAGTAGATTCCACTATACCAATTTCCATATTGAAACCAGTTCACTTTAATCAACTGGTACCAGCACCAGTTGATTCCAACTGGTCCCTAATTGTTTTTTTTGACCTGGGCTTTTCTTTCTTCTTCCTCCTTTTTGTTCCCTTTTAGCTCTCCTTTATCATTTTCCCTTCCTTCTCTCTCTTTTATTTTCTGTGGCGGGGCGGGGGGGGGGGGGGGGGCCGGGTAAAGGCCTCATGGCCCCCTATTTTGATCACTATTTTTGTCAATCCCGGGGGGATACTCATATTTGGTTTGGTTCGGACGGGGTGTGCCGCTCAAGCCTCGAAACCCATACCCATTATTAGGGGGTATTTGGGGACATTTTTCAAAAAAATTGGGTGTTTTCACAATTTTCATGAAACACCATGAAATTTCGAAAAAACGGACCCATTTTTAATTATATTTTTGTTAAAATTGGGACCCATGTTAACTTTTTAAAAATATTTTTAAGTTACCCATTAGAGTGGCACATCTCCGTATGTCTTAATATGTGAGTACCCCCCCCCCCCCGCCCCCGGGTTGCGTTATTTTTTTCTGCGGCACAGATTGGGGTTAGGTGCGT